GTAATACTTTTAACTTTTAAGCATATAAACTCAAGGCAGGCCTGATCTATGTTTCTTCATCAATTCGCACTGTTTCGCTACAAAATATTACTACAACTGTAATATCACTACTAATTCTTGTATCCTGTTTGGAGATGTTTTCTTTCTTGTTTTAGTGTTTCCCCAAGCCATTAACTTATTAGCCCATGAGAGAAAATCATCAAACCACAAGAAAATATTCCAAACTAGCAAACTGCTATAGCACAACAAATAGACATCAGAATCCATAAAATAAAATCTGAGTGGACCGTATGCATTTTTTTGATAAACACATACTGCAAGCCCGGCAATTACTCTCCAAAAAGGAAAAAGCCAAAGAAAAAGTCACTAGCGAAGTACAACTAAATTGATTAAGTTAACTCGTGTTATTTTACTTTGCACAACAAAATATCGAAATTTTGTGGTGCATGGAAAAATTACATCACATTCAACACATGTATAGTTATAAAAGGAAAAAAGGAACAAACACGTCAGGTGGCAACTTAAATTTATTCGAAACTTATAGTTGGACATTTCAAGTATCTCTAGTATGAGATCTATCATTTTGTTTTTGAAGTAAAAGATAAAGTGCAAGTTAAATTCAGATAATATTTAATACTGAAAAAACAAAATATAGATGATCTACATGCATATGAACCTAAACAATATAAGAACATTAGTTTCTGTAATACAATATGAAAATTTCCAATTTGACAGTTGCAATAATCTTAGGCTCAAGATGCTAAAAGTTGTGAATACTGAAAGGTGACTAGCTCTTAGATGTCTTCCCTCAATGTTCATTCGAGAACTTTGAGCCGAGTGATCCTTTCCTACTTTGCTCTTTTGGTGACTTAAACCAACAATCTTACGGTAGGTGGAGATTCCTCACCACTAGTCTATCCATCCATTGTTTCCTTTCACTCCTCTCTTACTTTGTTCAATGAATCCTAGATCCTTTGCTGCATCAAGATAGCCATTAATAGTGAAGTGCATTTGCTACAGCAAGAAAACCATTAATCACCTTCTGCTCAATCTACAACATCTTTCCATGTTTCTTCGTTATTGGACACTACTTACATGAGATGGGATGAGTGGTGGCAGACGGTGTTTTGATCATTTTTCTTACGGAAAAGGGCCAAAACTACCCCTATTGCTTGGTAAATGGTCTGAAATTACCCTCCATCCATCTTTTGGTCCATAAATACACACGATGTTATTTCTAGGCTTAAAATTACCCCTCCCGGTAATGGTGCAATATGTGTGGACCCATTTAATGCGTTGGCAACATATTAATAGGCCACGTGGCTATTTATTGTAGTCATTACATCCGGGTGTAATATACCCGCCCCATTATTTAACCCGCCCCAATAATAGGTTATCCACTTCTTGTGCGTTAACCTATACCTTTTTATGCAGACGATTAGCAACAGATGATTCACCCAAAGATTGATTGCAAGTAGATAAGCAAATACGAACTCCACGGATAAATTTCAAAGGAAAGGGTTATGATGCCAGTTAAATTGTGTTAACTAAACCAGCTGTGTACAAAAAAAGAATTAGCTTTAATAAGGAGATGATATAACTTACGCGGATAAGAATTAACATGTAATGATTATCAACTATAGCAGCCTGAAGTGCATAATTGTATAACTTGGATAAATACTTACCAAACCCTTCAGTCTTATAGACACAGGTCGGTTCTCCAAAGCATCAAGTACTTTTGGTGAGACACTCTGGTTTATTTTGAGAAGTTAGACAGAAAAAGATATTACAAAGGGACAAAATAGCCATTCAAGTAGAAATGTTTACCCGCAAAACCTGAGCAGCAGCTTCAAAACGGTCCTTATTCCAAAGCTTCAGTATGAGCACAGTCAAGTGGAATGTTTCTGGATTAATAAAGATGGACTTCTCAATTCCCAACTCTGTTTGAGTGGAAAAACATTGGTGAATTTTGTCAGAGATTAAGAACTAGAAGCACCGAGTCCCCATGCTAGGTTGAAAGATAGGGATAGATATTATAATAAACATAAGGAAATGAAGAGAGAACAATTTTCATCTTTTACAACAACATTAGAACATGAATCCTTTCAGAATACCTAATAACCCATAAACTTGGCACGAATTATTAGTAGCACATCTGAACTATTCGTAATCTTAATTACTCCTCGACTTGGCTATTTGATAGTCCTTATCCCCTAAGATGCTGACATGGCAAACAGCTTAGGTGCGTGCAAGTGACTAGAAATTGAAGAATCAGCTAGAGGTGGGGTATTTTCCACCCGTTACTTGACAGTCATATACAATGGTTTATTTATTCCAATTGTTTAATTCCCCTAAGATGCTGACATGCAAGAGCGTAGCAAGAGCATGTATGTCACTTCCTGGAGATGAGATCATCCAGGGGTTAAATGCTGTCAAATATCCAAGTGCATAGGGTAATTTATACTATGTGCAACTAATAACCCGTGCCAAGTTTACGGGGATTTTAGCTAACCTGTCCTTAAGAAAAGAAACACAGTACGTAGATCTTATACCAAATAGTTCTGAAGCCTTTGATTCTGAGGTAGGGGACTTAGACACTTCAGTAATTCCAAGAACTGAGTTCTGAAAGTTGATGAGTTTGTTTACCAGTTCAGGATATATGGCTAATGGAAGCGATACAAAGTGAGAGTAGTCCGGATATTGGCTTTCAACTGCCTACAGGAAACAAAGAGGCACAAATAAGACTTGGAGGACTAACTCAACTTTAATCCTGAAAGAGTTCCTCGACAAAAAACAGAAGTCAAATAAAGTGGCCTTATTTAGACGTAATGCTATATTTTAAACAAATTACTGGCTAAAATATGGCTGTTTAGTCAAAATTTTATCCTTAATAGAATCAATGGAAGCAAAATAGACAGAATAGCCTTAGTAAAGACTCAGTTGATTAATAACTTTGCAGCACTGAATGTTCAAGCAGAAATGAGATCAACTATAGAGATATAAGAGCAATTCAGGCAGCATAGACATGAGATTATTCCTAACTGCAAAGCGGAGACCTATAAATCAGTATATGCACTTTCAATAAATTAGGCGTCTGGGCATATGCTTCTGCTGCCGCAGATCCTACTTCCGGGTGCTTTTTCTACATAAAAAAGTACTACGAACTATAAAATCCAGATGAAAAGATGCAAAGAATTCACTCCAAACCTACCCCCTCCTATGAACGCCGCAGCTCTTGTATTCTTATGAAAAGGGAACCCTAAGTATTTATCGACTACTCTTGGTTGGGAAGGATGGTCTAATTCCATTTACCGAAAAAGAAAATGGGCCTGAATGATCAACGAACATAATATATACCATTTTTTCACAGGCTGTCGATCCATTTGATGGATAGGACCTATAAAAGCAGAACAGTGAATATCAGAATCACAAATCCAATGTAAAAATAAAACATTTAGGAGCCATATTCAAAAGAATCCAAAAATAAAATAAAAACACGGTCTGAACCAAAAAACAGTGTTTGCAATAGGCACTCCAAAACCTCAAACTATGCCAACACAGGATCAAGGTCGTGGAGAACAATAGAGAAATGATCAAATGGACATTTATAAGGAGTCGAAAACTTCCAAACGCCACGTATAAAGGGACTTCAGATCAAGTTGATTTAAAATTCTTGTACTTATGCAGAC